ATCTGGAGCCAGTTCCGACTTACATACAAATTCAACTTAAGAACAAACCTATAGTCCCTATCTTGTACGTAACCCGGGGACTGCCTGTACTTAGTCCTGCCATGAATGCAGTGGCCTGAACTAGATGACCTCTTGAAGAACCTTCCAGTCCTATAATTTTATAATTCTATGACTCTCTGAAAATAGATTTCTTTGCCCAAGAGTGGAGCTTTGTAACTAGCCATGTTATCTGAAGTGTGCCAGTTTTGTATTAAATGTGTAAGTGCTGTGGAGATCAGTAAGTTACATGTCTATCTTTGAAAACCATGACAGAACTCATGGGCCAGTCATAGAGATGACAAATTGCCAGAACTGATAGATCAGCAGTGTATGAGGAAAAGGACGTGAGGCACTGAGACAAACAGGAAGTCTTTTAACAATTGGGTTTTCCCAGAAAACTCTTTGCAAGCAGAAAATATCTAGCTCCCTTTTCCAAGTTACAGTGTAACCTGTACTGACCTAAATTTGATTCTGTACCGACCTAAATTTCACATGCCCGTGATGGAACCTCATCCAAGGCCAACATAGGAGCAGAGGAGTCCACTCAGTCCCTTGAGAAGCATGTTTCAGCTCCTGCCCTTCTCAATCCATACAGAAAGTAAATACTGTTTTATTATTTTGTTCGTTTATGGACTTTGGGTTCCTGTTTTGATTCTGTGGAAACACACTGAGCTACCTCAGCCTTGCATGGTCATGTTACAGAGCCAGGAGATGCATATGGGAGGGGCTTCAGTTCCCACAGAGATAGGGACGTGAATCATGGTGATCACCACCCTTGAAGAGCGAAGGGAATTTAAATAGTAGCAGTTACATCAACTAGGACTTGAAATTGCTTATTTCTGAAATCAATTCAGTTCTGAATCAGGGGGAGGCCTCCTCCCCCTTTGCAAACAAACTCAGGCTGCCTTGGGATAATAATTGATCAATGATTCTTTTTAAACAGAGAGTTTAAGGTCAGAAGATCACCCAGATCACGTCAGACCAGTATCTCACAGGTCTCTAATGCCACCCAGCCAACCACACGCTAAACCTATCATCTAGAATTAGACCAAAATATCACTGCCTTTAAGAGACTAACCTGTAGTGTGCCCCAGGCAGGGAATAGGTTAAACTCAGGTGCACTATTACCTATGGCCCTGCAATGGCAGAGAATTGATGAGATGAGATGTACCCATATGATCCTAGCAGATGACCTGTGTCCTACATAGCAGCAAAAGGCAAAAAAGCCCCCGAGATCACTGTAAGTCTGCTCTGGGGGAAATTTCTTTCCCGTCCCACCCATGGTGATCGGTCCCATTCTGCACTTCCTTATGAGAAATTGTCAGATGGATGCTCTTTGTACACATCTGAAACTCCCAATCTGATTAAAGCCAGCCAGCCACAACAGACTACCTTAAAGCTTGCCTTTGCCGACTTAGTCTAACTCTATACTGTACCCATTTTGCGCAAGAAATATGCAAATGAGGCTAAGCGTGGAATATCGCCAAACCTCTTGCACAAAAAGTGGGCGTTCATTAATTATGCAAACGAGGCCACACTTAGCCTCATTTGCATAATTATTGGGCAAAACAGGTGCAGTATAGACATAGCCTTAGATCCTCATCCAAAGCCCAGGAAAGTCAATGAGAGTTTCTGTTGACTCCATTAGCTTCAAATCAGGCCCTTACTGCTTTGCTCAGCACACATAATGTCTACCTACAGGTAACATTTTTCATATCTCAACTGACACACCTAGCCACAGGTAGTACCCAGCTAGGAACATGCCTGACTTTAACCAAGTTAGTGTTTACAACATTCTTACATCTTTCTTACCAAATCAGGGCCCTAATGAATTGTTTTGTGGTTTAAAAACCTACTTGCATATATGAACCCACACTTTTACCACTTTAAGGGCAGGTCTATACTACAAGGACAGATCCATCTAAATTACACAATTTGAGTTACGTTAGTTGTGTACCTCAAATCAACATAGCTTAGATATACTTCCTTCGAGGGGGTTGACAGAAAAAACTCTCATGTTGACTCCCTTTACTCATTTCATTCTGCTAGAGCAGTGGTCCCCAATGCGGTGCCCAATGGGGGCATTTATGTGCGCCCACCTAGTGACCAGGGCTCAACAAGTTTTACTTCTATTGTGGGGGGGAGGAGGGTGTGAGGGCTTTTCAAAAATCAAAAAGGGGGGTGTGATGCCAAAAAGTTTGGGAACCAAACTCTGTGCTAGAGAGGGCCTAGAAGAGCAAATACAACAGCAGTGCTGGACGGAGAGAGAAAAATCAAAACCAAGAGAAGAGGATTTTGGAGAGCAAGAAGAAAACCTTCTGGAAAGTCTGTCTCATTTCAGTGACACAGGGTGGGGAAAGCTAGAGAGTACTGGAATCAATTGGAGAATTATCAGTGGTCAGTTTAGTGGGTCTTTACTAGGCCTGCTAAATCAACCACCAATGGATTGATCACCACAGCATGGAGCCACCCCATAGTAGAGACAAGCCTTAAGCATCCTAAATGTTTGAAAATCTACCTCCAGTAATCACAACAGGAAAGTCAGGTAAACAACAAAAATCTTCCTTTTAATCAGAGGCTGTAACTGAGCTGAACTTTCTGAAGTGAATAACATGCTTCCAGCATAATGAACAGAGGGCTGATTTGGTTCTGGGGAGCATCAGGTGTACAAATTCCCAGACTTCAATAAATAGTCACTGTGATAGGTGGCAGGGCTTTTGCAAATTTTGTGGTTTGCCTGTGTGAGGCATATGCTTCATTTAGTTTACAATGAGCCCAGGTCCTTTGCAGCTTGAAGTGTATTTCGAATCTGTTGTATAAAGTGTAAATAATTACTGGTGTTGTGAAAACACTTGATAAGTGTTGAAGGTGAGGATAAGGTGAAGACCGAAGCCATCTGGAGTGTGTTTTGTACATTATCACACCATTGGGTAAACGTGCACTGGCAGACTTAATCAAACACAGAGCCAAGAAGTTGTGTCACTGAAAAGGCAAATCTATCACTCGTTTTCCTCACCACTTTCAAATACCATCTTTTTTTTTTCTTATTTTGATGGGCAGGTGTGAGACTAGCTGAGGAGCAGAAGTGGAGCCGGCAGGCTTGGCGATACTCTGGATGGCTAAACAAGCTGATGCAAAGGAGCCATGTGAGCTTGTGGGCAAACAGCTGGGTGAACCTGGAAGGTTTGCATATGCAGCACTCTGCGGGATCTCCCTGGCTTGCTTGTTTCCTGAAAAGGAGCAAAGGTACGAAGGTGGATAGAGCAGTTTTTGTGCAGTAGCTGAGACAGAGTCTGATAACAAGCCAACCATGTGCATGGGATAGATTAGATTAAATAAAAAAAAGCACCAAGCAGGCACTTGTGACTGCACGAGGCTGTCTTTCCAAAGGCCAAGGAGGACAACCCTTAACCATGCCACTGGATTAGGCTGGTTTAATCAGAGCTTTTAAGCCAAATCGTTTGAAGTGCTGAAGTTTATGGTAATTGAAGCTCCACACAGGATCAGACCCTTTGTTTTTGAAGCTGTATCCCTGATTTAGGAAAGGCCTCAGCCTATAATCTCAGCGAAATCTTACAAAGAAAAGCATTCTTGTGAGTTTTCCCCAGTGAAATCTTGCAGGAGTTTGTCATGTCCAGGATAACAATGTCCTGTTCTGTACAGTCAAGAATAAAACATGGAGATAAATCTTCCCTTAATCTCCTGGATTATCAGGCTGTCTGAGTTGTGTCTCTTCAGATTCTGAGTCAGGACAGTGAGGATTGCATTCTGCTGGTATAGAGACAGGAACACTATTCTTCCCTGTGAGCATGCCCATTCACGGCTTTGTCATGTCCAGGATAACAATGTCCTGTTCTGTACAGTCAAGAATAAAACATGGAGATAAATCTTCCCTTAATCTCCTGGATTATCAGGCTGTCTGAGTTGTGTCTCTTCAGATTCTGAGTCAGGACAGTGAGGATTGCATTCTGCTGGTATAGAGACAGGAACACTATTCTTCCCTGTGAGCATGCCCATTCACGGCTAGGGTTGCCAAGTAGACCCTGCTAAAAAAACGGACACGCTTGTCGGGGG